TTATTGAATAACCAAAAGCGACAATAGGATTACTTTTTTTGTCCATTAGAGTTTTAAAAAAATGCAGTAATGTTCTAATTTACAATAAAATTTTGTGAGAAAAAAACTTTACAAATCTCRAAAAAGAWATCACACAAAATCATTTCAACAAACCTGTACTAAGTCAATAAACTGTGGAAACCTTYTGGTTGGTTTGAGCATCAAGCTGTGCAACGTTGTGCGCTCTCTGYAAGATTGTCTTCTTGCCTGAAAATAATCAAAGTAAACAATGCCTCAATGGAGTAGGGAGCTCAATCCAAGTTAGCACTAGTCATGTAGTGAAAAGTTTATTTTTAATATTGTACTACATTTCATTCCTATCCTCCTATCCTATACACACTTTTAATAAGTCCCGAGGTATTGTGTTCTCCGCACTTGACGTCAAATTTATTCTTTTGAATTCCTTTTGTATTGTAAAAATTTCAAAAGAATAAATTTGACGTCAAATGCGGAGAACTCAATAGTCTCGGGACTTATTAAAAGGGTGTATACTATTCAATCCAAACTAATCCCATCCATCCCATTTCATACAATTCCATTTCATTCTCTTTCATTCAATTCAAACAGAGAAARAGTACCTTTAAAAGCTGAGCAAAACCAAGGTGAGTTTTACAAGCTGATCTTATGGTGTCCATTGCCTTAGCAAAGTTATTGACGTAACTGCTGTATGCCTCAAGAACCATTGACTTACAAAACTATTAAAAGATCATGTAAGTTTGCATGAATTTGAAATATGTGCTAATGACCATAAAACAAGTGAAATTAAACATTTTCAAGTATACATTAATAACAGCWGTTTTTTCAAAACAGTCACTGTGACAATAAATACGATTTTCAAGGACTATTTTGATATGTTTGCAAACATTTCCAGTCATGGTAATTTTCAAAAATTGGAACATTTGAACCTAAAAGCTATGAAGCAACATGTCAGTTTTCAGTTTTTTTTCTCCATTTTCAAATAGTTTTCAAGCGCCCTTGAAAACGAGTTTTCAATTCCAGAACTTTTCAAGGATTTCAAGGAGCAGCACCAACCCCAAGGATATTGTTATTTGCGGTACAGCAACACCTTAAAGGGACATGGTCCACCAGCATCCCTTTTGAGCTTTTGTTTATGTTTGAAAAAAAAAAATACATCGTAATATAAGCAAAAACTTACTCTTTATTATTCCTTTATCCTATATAAATGGAGATACTGTAAGATTTGACCCTTAATCAGATGGATGGAAACGGATTGTGAATGGATATTCGAAGTCACCTCATTTTCCATATATGAAAAATCTAAAACACGACCGCATTGCAAGCTAGTGGACCATGTCACTTTAATGTGCCATTTCTATAATTAGTTCATACCAAGGCATACAAAATGTCTCCAATCTTCTCCTCTGTGCTCCACTCATCCATACGCGCAGAGAGAGCAATATTGAACATGACRTGGCAGTCTAACACTTTATGTATTCCTTGGAAAATTGCATCAATTTTGCTTGGCTCTAGAAGATCTCTTTCTCTGATWGGTAATTCATATTTCTGAAAGTAAAGATCAGTGACAGAAAAGCCAGTGAGAAGGACTTCGTAACGAAATTAAAAAGATGAGGCGAAATTAGTATGTGCATACTTTTTGTGTTTTCACCATTGTTTATATTATTTATTTTGCAGTTATTGTTCGTGTTGAAAAATAAAATCTTTGAATTTCAAAACTGGACTTAATTGCCTTTGYGGGGTCATTTTTCATTCATTTTGAGAAGAATTACAGTAACCCCCTTGCTTCTACTTCCCCATCCCCTCCCCCCTCCCCCTGGGATTATCATTACCTTGATCCCCCCTCCCCCTGGGATTATCATTACCTTGATCCCCTCTCCCCCCTGGGATTATCATTACCTTGATAAGTTTATCTAAAAGTTTCATGTAATCTGCCTCACTCTCCAAAATAAACTTGACAATCTGATGTCGTTTCACTTGCACTTTGGTCAGTCCTTGAGCCATGTCTGGCATGACAGGTTGCTGGTAGTTCTCTCTGTCAGCAATGTTAGGGTCGACATACTCCGGCTCTTCTTCTTGTTCTGCAATAGCAACATTATCATACAAAATGGTGATTTAAACATCTACTCACTTTCACATGGGGTAGACAGAATGARCCAGAACATAATGAAGATGAATACACATTAGGCCATTTTTAATTCATCTTGATTGCATTCTGGTTCATTGATACTGACAATTTGTCTCTAAATAGATGCTATTTGTTAGTATTTAGTTTGATTTTATTTCATGGTTTTCCTGCGTTTGCTCTAAATTATCTATTACTAACTGGAGTACCTTGTTCAACAGTCTTTTTGCGGTTAGCCAAATATGGCAAACTTGGCGCTTTGTTCATCCCAAAACATCCCTTGATCCCTTTCAAGCCTGGTATATGTACATGAAGATTTGGTTTCCTTCCGCTTGCRCTGCTGTCACTACGAAACTTGACCTGTAAAAATTTAAACAATTTGACCGTTTGCATAACCTCATATACATCAGCTAGGTACCTATAGTGATGTTTTTGATGAATAAGTGGGTGAGAGAATGTCATTATTACCGCTGTTCTTCTTTGTGGGGTAGAAGCATCCCTTTCCTCGGAATAAAATGTAGCAGATGAATTCTTGTACTCCTCATAGCTGCCTGATCCAGAAGAATCACCATCTTCTCCATCGCTCTTGGTAGCTTCAACAACTCTGATGTTATACTGAACATCATCGACATCAATTTCATCAGAGTCATCGTCATCATCGTCAAAATCGGACCCCCAGTCTGACAGCTCCTCAGAGTTATCAACTGGCATCATGTAATGTTCTAAAAATAGAACCACATAAAGTCATAATAAAAAAGAGAAACACTTCTTCAGGATATAGATGAATACATTAAAAAAAATTAGTAGTAAAATAAACGATAAAGACAACAAGTCAAGTACTTTACAATGAGGACAGTACTTATGACCTCGAAACGTCATAAAAATCACTTGTTGTCTTTATCGTTTATTTTACTACTGATTTCAAAACCACTTTTGATTAAGATGTTAAAAAAAATTGTTATTATAATTAATTAAACATTTATTTTTGACAGTAGCTTTATGTTAAAAATGATGGTGATTCATATGTTTCAGTAAAGACCT